TGTTTTTTTTTTTTTTTTTTTTTTTGTCCGCTCAGTTTCTTTTTTTTTTTAAGGATGTCCTCCCGCCGTGCTCTGCCTCGGTTTCTTTTATTTATTTATTTATTTATTTATTTATTTATTTATTTATTTATTTATTTATTTTTAAGGATGTCTCCCCCACCGTGCGCGCTCTGACCTCTGACCTCTGTCCTCCTTCCCGCAGCGACATGTCCATCCACTATGTGGAGGTGGACGAGGAGGAGCGCGACACCATCCTGGAGGAGGCGCTGAACCTGAGAAAACGCAGACGGGCCCTTTCTCACTGCGATCCCAAGCCCGACCTGAGCTTGACGCAGCCCATCTGCCGTCTGTCGTGAGTAACCCCGACGCCGCCGCCGTCGCCGTCAAATGGACCGGTGTCGGTCCACGGGTTCCCTATGTTTGACACCCTCCGTTCTTCGGGTTCCCTTTCAGGTGGAAGAACGTGGGCGAGTGCCTTCTCGCCATGTACCGACACCTGACCACCTGCGAGCCGCCGCGTCCCAGCCTGGGCCGCAGGGTGGACCTGTCGGACTACTCCGACCCCAACTTCCCGAAGAACCTCCCTCAGCCCGGCAGTCCAATCAGCACGAGCCAGACCCCGGCCCCCAGCAGCAGCCCCAGCTCCTCCCTGCCTCCGGTGCTCCTCTCCGAGCCGATCATCCTGACCAACCAGTCGATCATCACCAGTCAGAACACGGTGGAGATCAGCAGCTCGGCTCCCCCTGTTGGTCGGTGGTTTGAACTACTTCTTTTTTTTTGGCTTGTTTCCACATGGGGGGAGAGGGTGTGTGTCGCTAAATTCTGGTAAACGTTCACACAGCAGCGGCGGCGCCGGACGTGTCGCTGACGGACAAACTGAAGAGAGCGCCCAAACGGAAACGCTGCCTGGACGACGGCGGTGGCGGCGGCGAGACGGCCAAGAGGCGCTCGGCGCGCGTGAGGAACACCAAGTGCAAGAAGGAAGAGAGGGTGGATTTCCAGGAACTGCTCTTCAAGTATCTGCCCTCCAGGTCAGTCGGGTTTAAACCCCCTCCTCCCCCCATGCGCTAACTCCGATCACCCGACGTCGTCCGTTTTCGTTCTCTCCGTCTCAGACTGAAAAAGTTCGACCCCGACTTGGACGACGAGAGTCTGAGCAATCTGGACGCTCCGTCGGACGCTCCGTCGGACGTCCAGCCTCTACGGGGGAGCTGTTCCCCGGCGGATGTTGACTTCATGGAGACGGGTCTGTTTTTTTTTTGTTGACCATCCCTAAAATCTTCTACCAAACCCCCCAAAAAAAAAAAAAAAAAAGTGTTTTTTTTTGCCAATTTGTCAATTTTCCAGAGCAAGACGACGTGCACAACTTCCTGCTGGGAAACGCGAACAACGGCGGCGTGCTGGACCTGATGCTGCAGTACCTGAAGGCGGTGGGTCAGAGGTTCACGAAGGACTGGCCTCAGGGACTGAGCGCCGTCTTCCTGGACGTCTACCAGACCTGGAGGAGACACAGCAGCGGTCTCCCGAACCCTCTGGTCTGGGACTGCAGCAAGAAACACATGAGGGTAAGGAAAAAAAAAAAAAAAAAAAACCCCACCCCCAGGGGGCAGTAGAGTTGTACTGACGTTTACTTATATATATATAAATATATTGTATATTATGTGTATATATTTCATTTGGAATCTGTTCTCCTTGACAGGAAATGATGGGGATGAGTCTGGCCTGTATGGAGTTGGAGTTGGAGAAATGGTTGCTGAAAAAGACGGGTGAGTGTCGGACGTCTGGTTAACTGACGGAGGAGCGATCAGTCGGCTAGTGAGCTAGCTAGCTACTGTTGGAAAAACCGTATATATGTGTATATATATATATATATATATATATATATATATATA